CTACTTTCCGATGATTTATCATCGTCAAGATTGATTACAATGGGTACAATGTCATTAAGTACAAAACCATCATCATAATCAAACCCAACTTCGGTGTCAGCTTCATCTCCGCTGTCCGTTCCTTGGGCCGATGGTTCAGTATCGGATTCAGCGCCGTATAGAAGGGAATCAGTGAAATAGTTCTCTAATCCCTTAAACGGTTGCTTATCCGCGACCACCGTCTTGACTTCATTATTTGTGTCCACATATTTGAGGCACTGGTGCAAAGTTGACGGGACTATAAAGTTACCGTGGATCCAAGGTCGACCCAACAGTAAGTTATAGGACGTTTCTACGTCAATCACATAACATGTAACTTCTGATTTTAAATCCCCTATCTGGCATTTGATTCGAATCTTCCCCAAGGGTCTGGACCCGCTGGTGTTGAATCCGTAAATCGTAGTGCCGGTGGAGGCTAGTTTGCTAGTCGGGATTCCGAGATGATGCATCAGTCGGAATGGCATGATGCTAACAGCAGAACCCGGATCAACTTGGATCCGGTTGACCATGCTGGAGCCAATGTGCCCGGTGAAGTACAAGGGCCGATCATGCTTCGAGTTCTTTGTTTGCATATCCTCTTTAGTGAAAGAGATGCATGGAAAATGATGCGCCGCATTCGAGTTAAGAAAGCTTCAGAGTCGCTCAAGGCCTCTTGTAATGCTTTCCTTGTATCCTTTGAAAGATGCAACAGCTCGTATAGGGTTATCCTAGCCGGGATATTGGCTAACTGCGCCATGACGTCAAAATGGGGCGGAGAGCTTGCATTTCCCGGTTTGTCTCTCCCAATCGGGTGATTGAATCGAGACTGCCTCGGGTTTTGGGCTTCTTGACGTAAAGGCTCTTTCCCCTTCTCCTTCTGCTGGACTTTCTCCGTACTTCTGCTGGACTTTCTCCGTAGCTACAGGCGTTGGGGGAATTGCTGCTATTCCTAGTTCTGCCAATGTCTTGGAAGGAGCTGTTTTGGTGCCTAATTGCTCGGAAGCATCCGGGTATTTATAGTGATACTCATTCCCACTTCGGATTGCAAAGGCCTCCTGCTCATCTTCAGAAAGCGGGAAGGCGGGAATTTCTTCGTCATCTTCTCCTGGAATAGCAGAAGCTCCATAACAAGACTTACCTTTTCCTTTTGACTTTTTCTTGGAAGAGTTTCCAGTCCATTGTTCATCTCCAACCAAGTCTGGATGAACCCAAAGAATCTCACCATTAGGGGCTGTGTGTGGCACAAGTCCTTTCTGGCGCTGCTTGTGAGGATCATCGTTCACCGTCTTCACTGCTGCATTTATTACTGGCTCAAGCTGGAACCAGTTCAAAGGAGCAGAACCGAAGCTAATTGATACTGCATTTGCTCCCACCCTCTTCTCCTTTGGCTGCTTCATGGTGATGACCCCGACATCGATTAAAGCTTGGATCTTGTCCATAAGGGCATAGCACGCCTTGGTAGGATGGTGTACCGCTCTATAAAATGCGTAGTATTTTGGATCATTGATTCTCTTAGCATCTTCCTGATCCTGGACCGGAGGCAACTTGATCTTGTTGTTCTCGATAAGGTATTTAAAGATACTGGGAACTTCGTCCTCTTTGAATGAATAGACCTTCGGGAACTTCGGCTCCGCGGCTTTTGGCTTCTGGGTCTGCTGTTGCCACCTTGATTGTTGAGGCGCCTTTTGCTGCTGCTGTTACGGTTGCGCTTGTACCTCGAACGTTTGATTCGCGTCCACGGCATTTGCATGTGCTCTTCCTTTACCCTTAGGGACAAAGTTTGGTTGCGGAGCATTATTTGCTATTTGACCCCTTTCCGCCTTCTTCCTTTTAAGGAATCGTTCGGCTCGTTCTCCTCGCACCTTCAAGTCCTTCCAGGTCTTTGGCGGTGCCATTCCCATAGCTTCGAGGATGTCCAGTGAAAGATTATTGTGACAAGTCTTGAGGATAAAATCTTCACTGACCGGATCCCTACAATTCATTGCTTTATTTCGGAACCTCTTCACGAAATTTTTGACCGTCTCACCATTCTTCTGCTTCTCATCAAACAAAGTGCCGATTAAGACCTCAGTGTCGTCGTCGAAGAAGTTCGTCAGAAACATATCCTCCATGTCGTCCCAACTGCTGATACTCCCCGGCTTGAGGCGACGATACCAATCGAAGGCCGCTCCACGAAGAGTGCCAACGAATGACCGTACCATCAAGGGTTCATTGTCGGAGATTATTCCTAAGTGAGACTTAAAATATATTAAGTGTTGGGTAGGGGAACCCTTTCCATCAAACGGCGTAAAGTTGATTAAATTGAACTTTGCCGGATATGGAATTGATTCCCACTCCCTTGGATATGGACATGGTATGCCGGACCTTTTCACTTCTTGAGCATTCATCAACGCGTTGATTTTGCTCTCCAAGTCCTTCATCTTCTTGTCCTCACTCGTATCTGTCTTCGAGTGGCTTTGGGGAGAGGTAACGTGGTCCTCTTTTGCATTATCATCCACGGGACCGCTTCCATTGTCGTTGTTGACAGGAGGGATATTCAGGTTGACATTATTCTTCTCATCTTGATTCTGATTATTGTGTCGAGTGGGTTCTCCTTGGTGACTTGTCAGTGCCGCGATTTGCTGGTCATGCATCTCTCTCATTTGCTGCATGGCCATCTCCATCTCGAACTTGAAACTTTCCTTCTGCCTAGCCAGGGCATCTTCAAGCATCTTGGTTACTTGTTCGGCGCTGATCATGAGTGACTCGTAAGGTTGCCCCGTACTAGACGCCGTGTCATTGGATGCTATAGCCGAGTAGGAGTCTGAATCAGCATCTGACGCCTCCTCTTCCGAAGGAAGTCCTTTTTGCATCCTTTGGTAGTTCTTTCGCCTATTGATCCCTGACCGCAATCGAGTCATGCACTGGGACGCTTCGGCAAGTTGATCTGAGCTAGAGGGTCGTGTCGATTTGCCTCTGCCGGTCATATTAATAGACACTTCTAGGAATTCGTCCTCTTGGCGAACGAACTTCTTCCCACGAAAATTCCTTGGCTTGGAAATCCTCTCGAATACCGAGACTCTCTTTGGGTTTTTAGAACAGCAGCATTCTGACAACACCGCCCTGATGATGTTGGCACACGGACAGTGAGGTTCTGTGTCTCAAGCATCTCTCTTCCGAGACTTACTTGCACCCCCAGCTCTATAGTACAACTCATCAGTTTGATAACTGGAGCAACCCATAGAGTGTTGGCATGACTTCCCAGGTATAACACAATCATCATCAGACGAATGTGTTTCCCCTGGGGATATGACGCTTTATTAGCGTTTTCAAGAGTCGCTCGTTCAAGTCTACGCTTTTGTGAGCGTAAAAACTTAACGGGCTCCTGAACTTCGACACGCAACCCAATGCGGTCAGTAACAGGGGCTTTCCCTTTGTTATCTTTTTTGGAGAGATTAACATGACCCCCAGTCTGGTTTGTTGTTTGGGGACTTTTCAACGGTCCCATTCGTTCCTTGACAGGTGCTTTACCTCGGTTCCCGGGTAAAGGACCGAGGCGACCCTTCAAAGGAACCCTGGATCTTGAAGGATCCATGTTCTTACCTGACTCCGCCGGAGGTGCGGGGGCAAGGGGAACGTGATCTGGATTTGATGAAGGTTGGACGGCAATTCCGTCCACTCTTGTCTTAGGCGCCGGCTTTGTCTTTAGCACCCACACCTGCTTGTGTTTTGACGGATTCTTGACCGTCTCCTCTTTCTGCATCTCTTCCGCTTTCTGCAGAAGGACTCGGGCATGCGCAAGCAATGTGCGACGTTTCTTGATTCGCTCTTCGAGGGTTGAGCGAGTCCTCGTGACACGAACCCATTCGTTCGTTTCTGCCTTGGAGGAGGAGTTGGTTATGCGTCGTTGTTGCTCTTGGCGCTGTCTGGACTTCAGATCTTCATTGTAGCGGATCCCGTCCATCGATTCTGCGGCTTTGGCCAGTTGTCGCGCAAGGCGTTGACGCCGTCTTTGGCGCGCCCTCTTTGACACAGCTGGAGCACCTTCAGCAGTCGCCTTTGTGGCGGAAGGGAGATCTGGATCTGCAGCCTTGACCTCTTTGGATGCCGCCGGGATGTCACGGGGCACGGGTGCAGCAACGGCGACGGGATCTTGGATTTTAGAGCCGGAGGTCCCGCGAGCATTTCTGGAAGACGAAGTCTTCCTACGCCTGTTTGGAGAGGCGGATCTGGAGGAGGAGGAAGAGAGGTACTCTTCAAACTTTTGTTGATCGAACTCGTATTCGATCTCTTCGTTCACCCGGATCTTGAATGCCGGTTACGTCACGACGGCCTCGGCAGCGAGGCCGTTGGCTCCCACTATTTTAGTCGTTACAAATGAATTCAAATAACAAAAATAAAAATTACAACTTTCTTGAAAATAAACACAAGATCCGTTTATCGTCTCTTGCTTGCGTGGGTCTTTGGCCTGTGATGGGGACATCGATATCCGTGGACTACCTGGCAATCAGATCTGATCAAAAAAAAAAATCGGACAGAGCTTCGTCGATCCGCGAGGAGATCTAGAAGCTTGAAGCGCCTATCTCGGCTAAAACGAGATATTTGCTCTTCTTAGGATTACCGGCGAAGGGTAATGCTAAGGAACGGACACGGGTGATGCGAATCTGTTGAAGACCTCCCTTGTGTTGAAGCGATCGACCACTCTTCACTGCAGCAGGGCTTCGCCAACTCTCCAAAAATCCAGATCCTCCAAAAGTGAGGCCTAAGGTTCCTATTTATAGGCAATGAGGGCACCTAGGGCGCCTAGACACCCCTGGGGTGTCTAGGAAAAGCCTAGACACCCCTGGGGTGTCTCAGAAAATCCGAGACACCCCTAGGGTGTCTCGGAAATTCCGAGATTTCTGAGACACCCCTGGGGGTGTTTTGGAATTTCTGAGACATTCCGTTGAGGTGCATTCGTCCGCTTCCGCTGTAAATTCTTCGTCCGAACTCGGATTTGAGTGATTCCAAGTGCGTTGGAAGCTTGATGAAGAGTTCTATCTGCTCTAATGGTTGGATTATCTGTAGAATGAACAAGACACGAAGGGCGTTGTTTTTTTTGCAACATCGCGGGGCTCTCGATTAGCCTATGCCTTCGTTATCCCGAAATCCTATCAGCTCACGTAGTTCGTCGATTCACTTCAATCGTTCATCGACGTCAATTACGTCAATCGAACTCCTGTGGATCGGATAGTGACGTTCATCGTCGCTCTTTAACACTGAACCGTTCGTGAAGACCTATACGCAATTTTCGATGCCTACAATCATAAGTTGTTTTCAAGTTTTCTCTGAATCAGATCAAATTAGAGAGAACATAGCAAGAATGATGCATGTACTATAGTAATAGATTGTAAGTAACCAAACCGAACCACCCATTATTCAAAACCGAACGAACCATTGCAAGTCTCGGTGCGGTTCGGTTCGGTTTGTTTGGTTCTAACTTCATCAAACTTTTAATAAAGTGCGAACCGACCGACCGTTTGCACACCCCTAGAAACCATACGAAACCAACCGAACCACCCATTATCTACAATATGGGAGAAAACTGACCAACAACTTGAGTAGAAAATATCCATCAAGTTTAGATAACCATGGTATGATGATGCTAAATGATCAAGATTGACAATTTATACGCAGAAATTTAATCTGCTGAAGCAAACAACTCCATAAAGGATGACTTAATTGAATATTCTCATAATATACCAAGATGATAAACTTATGAATATCAAATTGAGTACAACATGCATTGTAAACATGACACTCAAATGCTCTAGATTAACAATTGTACACAAACATGCACATCTAGTTTATCTTCAACTTGATCAATTCGGCGAGAAATGTCTGAAATAATATGGGTTTTAGTCATTTATATGTCACATTATCACAAACAAGAATATATATTTGAAACTTATATTCCGAATCAAGCAATTTGAATTCATATGATTTAGCTCAGAATAGGAAGATATACCTCTGCTTTAAGCTTCTCCTTCTCCTTAAGAAGATTATCATAACCCTCCTTAAGAACATCAAAGCTCTTCTTCAATACCTCATAATCCTTCTCAATTTGCTTCGTCTTCCACCTTGCTCTCCGATTCTGAAACCAAATAGCAACCTGTCTTGTTGCAATCCAAGATCCTTAGTAAGCTGAATTTTTCTCTCAGGTTCAAGCTTGTTCTCAATTTTAAAGCTCTTCTCTAAGAACTGAACTTGGGTGGAAGTGAGCCTCCTCTTCTTCTCTGGCTGATGGAGGGACTCATCATAATCATCATCAAAGGTTTCCTCATGTTCTCTAGGGTGGTAGAATGGCTGGTTGCTTGTGCTATGGAAAATTTCCTCAAAGTTTATCTAGAGCCTGAAAATATAAGTACTCAAATGATTCAGTACAATGGTATGATAAGTGACGAAATAATAGTCAGTGGAGATTCATACAGTATTAATGAGAATGATGTAAAGAATACTTCAATATATCTTTAATTTCCCATGTCAAGCCGAACAATAATTGTGACAAATGATGCAAAAAAGATTCAATTATAGAGATGAACAACTCTCAGTGGAAACTTATTAATTGAATTGCCTCTCAGGATAAGGTTTATTCGGATGAATCTTTAAAGACAACTGTTGGCCTTCTTATTTTGATGATGTTTAACAAACAATTTATAACTAATGTTGTTTGTCTAGTGCTTGTGTTATCTATTTATTGTAGACAAACAACGTTGTTGGAGGATGGATGGAATAGAGCTTCAACGATCATATCAAAAGGAGGTTGGCGGAATGTCGGTGAAGTCTTGCTATTCAAAGTTCAAGATCCAAGTTCAAGCTTCATCCGCAAAGTGTACCAAGTCAAGCTTATTGAAGATCAAGATCGGCTTGGGTAATCTAGTATAGATTTATATTATGTGTGTTACGTACTCTAAGCTCAATTATCTATACACACACATTTTATTAGTTTCCTTGTATATATATGTAATCACATATATATACAACACAAGTTTTGGTTTTCATGTTTATAAATATAAAATTACATGTTTCATATTTATTATTGTGATTTGGTTTATCTACATAGATATGAAACAAATATATTTTCATATACATACTCATAGGTTTTATTTTCTATTGTATTTGTGAAAACATTATTTTCTAAGTTTATGGACTTAATAACAATCATATACATATTTTATTAAGTCTACAAAATCATTGTGCAAAGTTTCAAAACATGGTTTAGCCTAAATGTCAAAATTCATATGTTCATATTTTCGTGTTTTGGACCTCCTTGCAAAATGATGATATTTTACATTTGGGATGTCATTATCATGTCTACAATCATTCCCCAAAGTTTTACATTTTTTTGGAATTTATTTGATATTTTTAAACAGTGTTTCAAAATCAGATAAACAGTTTTCAGAAGTATCAGTATTCGGTCGACCGAACCGGTCAACCGCTCGTTTGTTCTTTCGTTAGCATGGTCCAGAGAGTTGGTCGGTCGACCGGTCCGGTCAACCGAAAAGCTCCATCGGTCGACCGCACCGGTCGACCGGATTTGTGTCTGCTCGTTTTCTCGTTTTCGACCTGGATAACGGTCGACCGAACTTTCCGTCGGTCGACCGAAATTTCCGTCGGTCGACCGAAATTTTTCATCGGTCGACCGACAGAATTTCCGGTCGACCGACAATATAGCCGTTGGCTACTAACGGATATTTCTGAGCTGTTTCTTTGGAGGCTGTTTTGTCATTTGTTTTGGGGTTTTTTGCTAAGATCTTTAGAGGGTATAAATACCCCATTGCTGTCATCTTTCAACTCACAAGAGAATGTTTTAAAATAGTTTAACAAGGGTTTAAACTTGTTTAGTGTTTGTTTAAGTTTGGTTTAAGAAGCTTTTAAGCAATTGAGGGTTTGAGTTTGTGAATTCAATTTCACAAGAGCAAGTGGAGATCATCCTTTGGTGTTTGAGCATTCACTCTTCTCCTACTCTCTTGTCATCTTTAGAGAAGTGTTTCTAAACTCATCTAGCAGTTTATTATTTTGATTATAATTTCATAAGCTAGATTTCATATTGAGTTTGGTTTAATTGTTTTATTGATACTCTTTGTTCACACACAACCTATTGAGCTTATTGTATTTACATTCATAGTATAATTTAGGGTTGTGGGTTTGTGACATTGAGAGTGAGCTTAATTGAGTTCTCACCTTGTTTTGAGAACAATCATTTGTCATATTTGTGCTTATTGTGAGAATCACTTTGTAATACACTTGTACACCGAGTGAGGAGTGTGTGGTGAGAGTCGGGGATCGTCCCAAGAGGAGTGGCGTCGGTTGACGTGCCTAGGGAGAGGTTGTAACCGAGCACTTGAGGAGGAGGACACGGGCTAGGACCAACACTTAGTGTGTAAAGTGTGATTGCATAGTGATTATATTGTGAGGTGTAAACACTTGTAATACACTTGTACACCGAGAGAAGTGTGTGGTGAGAGACGGGGTCGAATCCAAGAGGAGTGGCGTCGGTTGATGTGCCTAGGGAGAGGTTGTAACCGAGCACTTGAGGAGGAGGACACGGGCTAGGACCAACACTTAGTGTGTGAGGTGTGATTACATAGTGATTGTATTATGAGGTGTAAACGTTGTTCGGGTGAACGTAGAAAACCCGGTTGTGATAGTGGAGATCTCCGCGAGGTGAGGAGCGGGGACGTAGGTCGTGGGGACCGAACCTCGTAAACATATCGTTTTGTTTGTGATTGCATTGGCGTACTTTTACATTCGTGCTTATTATTCATATTGCCTTTGTCAATTGCTCATTGTTGTTTTTTTTCCCTCTATCTAGTTTATGATTAATTCACCCTCGTGTTAATTTTATATCCTTGCACATATATTGTCTATACCTCTTTGTTAGGATATATCTTATTGTTCATATATCCTTACACATATTTCTATCATATAGGATATATCTCTTTGTTGTTCATTTTGCTTATCCTAGCTTATATATAGTTGTTATATTTCATACTTGCTAGGATAATTTGTTAATAAGTTTTAATTGGCATTTAATCGGATTAGATTAGCATAAGACCCTAATCACCCCCCCTCTAGGGTCTAACAATTGGTATCAGAGCTTGGTGCTCTTTGATTTAAGGTCTAATCGCCTTGAGTTAAAGATCCAAGTTAGCTTATTGTGCTAATCTAATTTTGAGCTTTATTTGTATCTTGCTTGCATATATTTTTACAAATTATGAATATGAATGATGCATCTTGTTTAGGCTATGATTCTAGTGTTGCTCCTAGATTAGACAATTTCCCCTATGCCCAATGGTGTGTTAGATTTAAACTATTTGTTAGATCTAAACATTTTGATTTATGGGAAATTATAGATGATGCTTATATTGTGCCCATTTTGGAGAAATCCAAGTGGAATAAAAATGATCATCGCATGTTTACTATGAACAACATTTTGTTAGAATATTTGTTAAATGCTTTTAACTCATCTATGTCTAACAAGTTTGTTCATTTTGATAGTGCTTACACCTTATGGATATTTATAGAAGCACATCAAGGAGACTTGGAGGCGATCCGACAAGCTTTGGAGGATCCCGCTTCAAGTTCATGTGGAGCATCATGCACACGGCCACTAGGCGATAGCCCTAGTGAGGTTTGCGAGTTCAAATCTATTAATGATTTACCTAATGATGAACTTGCTTGTGCTAGTGAAAAATTATTACATGCCTTTAACAAATTGCAAAATGATTTCATTAATTTACAAAGCAAGCATGAAATTTTGAAATCCGATCATGAGTTGTTAGCATCTAAGTTTGAAACTATTTCTAATGAAAATGTGATCCTTAAAGAAAACAATGAAAAATTAAAATTGGATCATGTTTCTTTAACTTCAAACGTTGCTAGTTTAACTCATGAAAGAGATAATGCCATGTTAGAAGTAAAGAACATACAAAATAATACTGCTTCCTTTATAAATGATTATTTATGTTCTACTTCTAAAAATGCATATGTGCCTAAAAATGAAGATTTGAATCTTATGAAAAATAGTATTTCATCTTTAGATTCAACTTTGAAAATATGCATTAATAACCATAAGAAGCTTATGAACATTTGTGCCAAGACCAAATCAAAATCATCCACTCATTATCCACACATGTATAGCAAAACTTACAAGTGTTCTATTTGCGGCCGTCAAGGTCATTTAGCTAAGTTTTGTTATGATGTACAAAAACATAAGAATATTAATCATTCTTGTGCATCTCATGTAACTTCTTCATCACATGAACACACACATGCACCCATTATTCATCATAAGCATGCTCATGTGTATAGATGTGATCATTGTGGTCGTCTTGGTCATTTGGCCAAATATTGTTTTGATTTGAAAATTAAATCTCATTTGCCAAATGCTTCTAGTAGACCACATGTTTTTAGATGTGATGTTTGTGGTAGATATGGCCACTTAGGAAAGTTTTGTTTTGATAATGTTTCACATTTGCAAAATAATCTTAAAAGAAAATATTTATTTGCAAATGATTCACGTGCACGAACTAATGGTCCACAAAAACAAATGGATCTCTTTCATTGCACAAATTGCAATCGGAAGGGTCATTTGAATGAATATTGTTTTGACCATGTTAGTGCACCACATATACCTAAGAGGCTTCATAACCCTAAGGCTTTAAGCTTGAATGATAGGGGTCATGTCCCTAACCAATCCGGCACCAAGAATGCTTGGGTGCCAAAATAATTTTTAAACCAAGAATTTTAGTGTTTTCATTTTTTCTCTTTCTTGGTTTTGAAAAATGTATTTTAAACTTTTATGAAAACAATTCCTTTTATTGGTTAAATTCTTTTGTTTTCATGATTATTGGTTTTGCTTTGATAAGAGGTTTGCACTTATATAACCCTCCGGCTTTATTGGGTGTTTATTCCCAAATCATGTTTACCGGATGCTAAATCCCTATATCTTTTTATGTTTGATACTCACCCGTGCTTATTGATAGGGGGAGCTTTCGCTCTCTTAATTCTTTTGTCCCCTTTTTGATGTTGTCAAAGGGGGAGAAATATTGTGAGTATATTCTTTCTTGTTTATATGCATGATATATTATACATTGTATGTTCATTTCCTTTCATGCATATATCCTTTTTGTAAATTGTTTGTCATCATCAAAAAGGGGGAGATTGTTGGCCTTCTTGTTTTGATGATGTTTAACAAACAATTTACCACTAATGTTGTTTGTCTAGT